ATGGAAAACTTGTTAAGTTGACAAGATATTTTCACAAAATTTGGCACAAATTATTCCATTCCATCCAAGCCATTCTATAATCTCTGAACATATCGCTTAGATCGAACCGACCACTATTAGTTATAGTTGCCATACATAATGACCACTCAAACTCAAATTTTTGTATGGAAAACTTTTGACTTTGACAAAGTATCGTCATGAAAATTAACAAGGGTTCTTATCCAAGGTGACGCTACAATCTCCCAATATTTTCTTCAAGCCGGATGACTATAACATATTGCAGCCATGCAAACTGGCCGATCAAAATCAAATCCTTGTATGGAAAACTTTATATTTGACAAAATATCTTCACCAAATTTGGCGTAGCTTATTTTCGAAGACAACGCTACCAACTCCGTAAATATTGTATAGATCAGACCAATATATACTATATATATATAAAACAAAACTACCAATCAAAATCAAATTCTTATATAGAAAAATTTTATTATTTGTGAAGGGTATTATAACTTTTATGCAGCCGAAGTTAACGTTCTTCCCTGTTATTTTTAACTTGTTTCTTTTTTACTTTTTCAATTTCCCTTTTACATTTTTCTATCTCTTTACTCTCATTGCTATGGTATATGCCATTCATTATACAGTCTTTGACTGGAACCACTGTGTGTGGAGAGCAACTAATGCAATGAAGTATGCCAATATGCCCCAAAATTGAATTGAATTGAATTTCTTTGAATTGTAGTGAAATGAAAAGAATCGTAAGGCAACGTCGGTCATAGCTGAGCATACAGTGCGTGTAGTGGTGTGCTAGTCAATATAATAAAATGATGCCTGGTGCAAGTAGTTGTAGTCAATTGAGTCTCGGTTGTGGCACAATGCTGATGAAATGGCAAAATGTCAATTAAGTTGCTTGGCAGAATTGTTAAAAAAAGAGCTGAAGAGTAATAAATAAAGGGTAGTGCAGAAGAAATTACATATTGTTGCCTACTTTGAGGCGCTTAAAGTGTACATAACGTATATTCTCTATATTACAGAAGTAAAATCAGTATAATTTATAGAGCAGCTCTTTATTGCAGTCGATGATGTACCATTTAAGTTATTGTGACAGGTCGAAAGTATGGTTTATAGATATTTAAATAGGCATCCTTTAAGTTTTTAATTCGCGTAGCAGTAAACTTTTATGAGAATAACGAATGAAAATTGACGTTTGCTGATAATAAATAACATTATTTATATTGTTGTCCTGAAGTAATGAAAATACTGCCGGATTAATTTGTTACTCTTATTATTGCTTCTATTACTCGTAAATCGATATTTTTGTTTAAAAATATTATAAAAAAAAATTCTGAAATAATAATATTATATAACTCTAAACGTTTTCCGATTTTTACATAATCCAAGGCTTCAGAAAATAGAAATTTGGTTAGCCATAACAACTTCATTCCATTCCATTTCTATCATTTTAAATCGTTTTAGAGTTAATTTTTAGCATTGTTGTTTTGACTATTTTTGTGGGCTTTGGTATAGCCTAAAAAGTCCATGTTTTCTTCAACATTATAAAAAGAGAAAAAATCAATAATTAAATATGCCGAAAGTACCTGTATAGTATATTCCGAGTGTTTTCACTAGACTTTCTAGGTAAGCTTCTATAAATTATCTTCCTTAACTTCTCTTTCAATACGTCAATCAAAATAAGAGAGATAAGAACGAAAAGGTTGTTTTATGCACGAGTTCTGCATGCATGAGTACTATCAGAATTATCCATTAAAAAGCACCTTAGCATTTAATATTTGCGATTATATCGTATATTGTTGAAATACTTACATTCAAATTTTGTATTGTAAAATTAATTAGGTCAATTATTGCAACTTTGAATCATTCACAATATGTAGTAGAAAACTTGTCTAAAAGCTGTAAACTCAAATTGGACTGCATTGAAGAAAGCGTAAACATCACTTTAATGAGATGTCTGCGTGCTCTCTTGTTACGAGTTGTTCAATAGAATTGACAAGAGAGCTGCGCGCAAAGTTAGCGAGTAGGAAAATGTCAAATCAATAATTCATTTTATATATTTTCTTGGCTGTATGAACTGAACTAGTTTTTATTGGTTGCAACGTGCCAAAATAAGTACAACGCTCTTATTGTGGAATGTAACTATAATCTTTTGAATATTCCAATGAATTTAGTGTATTCAATAGCAATAATATATAGTGTTCTTTTCGGGAATTAAAATATTTTTGCAATGCTAAATGCTTAACGAAACGTCTCTTCTATCCAAAAAAAAACTAAAAACCATTAGGAGTTAAGCTCGTCAAGACCCCTAATGAAACCTAACTTTGACAATTTCACTTTGTCAGATTTTATTAAATGATTATTTAAATGTATATAAAATTTTATGTATATGCACATTTCGATACATAATGATGACTACTTGGTAAGTCTTTGGTTCACTTTTTTCATTAGGGCCTCTACGTCGGTGATTCTAGAAAATAGTACTATCTGAAGCAAAATAAAATTAAATCTTAATCCACATAAGACATACTAGTAATAAGTACATATGGTTTAAGCAGAACATAAATTTTTCACAAAATGATGAAGTTGTAAAAATATTCAATATTTGACTGAAAAAATGTACAATTGATAGAAGCTAATAAAAAAGAGATCCTACATAATTAACTAGTAAATGTACTGCGAAGCTAGAATCCAGTTTTCGTGTTGATACGTGCGAGAATCTCCGAGTCTCCATCATCGCCCGATCTTAGAACTTTAGGTGATTAGCTGACTGATCACTTCTACTCCACGCTATAGCCGATTGAACAGAGTTAAAACTTATTTTTCATTATTCTACCAATTAAATAATGCTTGTCAGGATCCTATAGTGTACTTTAAGCCAACCAAAACATTTGATTTTATCAAAATCGTAGACTGGCCTCGCGCTTTTACTTAAGTTTTCTATACTCGTAGATAAGTAGGCATAATAAATTTTCCACTAAGCTTGTAACACCCAGAATGAAACGTCAGAGACCCTATAAATTGAATATATAAATGATCAGTGCGACGAGCTAAGTCGATTTAGGCATGTTTGTCTGTCTCCCTATCTATATATACTAGGGTAGAGCGAAAAAAATTTTTTTTTTTGCTTAGCCTGAGGGTAAAATCTGTAGATTATAAAAAAAAAATGTTTCGACAAAAACATAAAAGTTTGTAACATCTAGAGGCTCGATATCCCGAAATTTACTTTAAACTTGGGTGGGCCGCCTCTAGAATTTAAAAAATTTTTTTTTTCCAAAAATTTTCTTATTTTAAACTACAGATTTTACCCTCAGACTAAGCAAAAAAAAAGTTTTTTTTAAACATCTAAAAAAAATTTTTTTTCGCTCCGCCCTAATACACATACTAGTCCCTCCTTTTTTGAGATTCTTGGAAAACTTTTTTATTTGCCAAGATGTCTTCACAAAATTCTCCGAAGAAATTATTTGGTTCAGATCACTATAGGTTATAGCTGCCATACAAACTGACCGATCAAAATCAAGTCTTTGTATAAAAAAATTTTTATTTGCCAAAATATCTTCACGAAATTCGGCATGGACTATTTCTCGTGGAAGCACTATGGTATTCGAAGAATTTGTTTAAATCAGACTACTATAGCAGATAGCTACCATACGAATTGGACAAGCAAAATCAAGATAAATGTACAGTGGAAATTATTATGCTTTGGTGAAACCAAACCTAACTCAAACTAACATCTTGTTTTGCTTTAAGAGGTCAAATGATATTCTTATCGCTTTCTAAAGTATGTAATTCAAGGACCTTGTTGATGTTCCCTGCTTCGTTAGAATACAAAGCATTATTTTGCACATTACTTTTAAAGAGTATGGTATTTCGCTGCTAACTTATTCCAAATCTTCAACTTGTTCAATATTTCTTAACGGTAGTTTAAAAAGTGCATTGCCAAAAATTGCACTTTAAATAATAATAGTTCTGAGTTCAAAACGAATATTGTAAAACATTTTAATTCTGTATTCAAAAAGGAAATTGTAAAATATTTCGCTTCTTAGCTGAAATAGCAACTCTGTTATAGCGTGCGAAATCTCGGCAACAGCATACTCAACACAACTTATGCTACACCTGCATTAAATGCTTGATCCGCTTAAATGGAATCAGTAAATATCCTCTGTAATACAGTATTATGCGTTTATTTATATACCGACAAAATCAATATTTTGCTTTCAGCTACAATATGATAATATTAATCTACTTTGTTTAGCGTTTCGCGTACAAAATCGATTTACTACGCTTTGCTTTATGGTAATACCTTTCTTACTTGCGGTGCGACTCCCACTCCCCTTCATGTTGCGCTCAGCTACCAAATTCAATCATTTATTTATTTTTTATTATTTTTTTGTTATTTTTGTTTTTTATTGTTGTTTGTTTTCTTTTGGTTTGCTTTCAGCTACATACAAGCGCAGTCAAGCGTACAGTTCAAGCATTTTCATTTATATATACGTTTATGTGTACATAGATATTTATATATTTATATATGTTTGTATGTTTGGCTGTATATATGTCTGTAGTCGATCTATATCTTATTGCTATAATTTCGATTATACTTTTATACCTTTTACAATCCGCTTGTTGTGCATTATTTGCATGTCCAGCAAATCCTGTCGTTGCTGCAATCATTTAAAATCTTGTTTCTTATTTTTGTTGTTTGTGTTTTTTTTCTTTGCTTATCTTATGCTTTTCCTTTCCTTTTTTGTATTTCCATTTGCTTTTCCTTTTTATGCTTTCGAATAATTCCAACTTTATATACACCCAGTCCCTTGCTAGAGAAGTATAGTGTGGCGTATCCTTTCACCGACCACTCAGCACCATCAAATCGTTTATTACGTCACTCACTTTTCTTCTATATACTTCTTTCTTTCTATATTTTTATATATATATATATATATCTTTAACACACACACTTACTAACATAACACCCATATTTTCTTCCGTTGCAGATAACGAGCTATACTCTGGCACTGTGGCCGATTTTAGCGGCAGTGATCCGATTATCTATCGTGAGCCGCTACAGACGGAGCAATACGACAGCCTAAGCCTCAATGGTAAGTTTTTACTTCTGTACAATGTTATACGTTTTCTTTTTTCTACTATTTATAGTATGCTATAGTTGTTTGTAACGCAACGTAATTGCATTATTGTTGTGGTAGCCGTGTTGATGGCCAATCGTTGCTTGGTTCCTTTAGTCGTTTGTTTCATCGCTTTGTTATTTTTGGTAATAGGTATCAACATGTTTCGGAATTGTTGTAATATTAAGTATATTGTTGTTGCTATTAGTGTAATGCAGCTATAAAATATACTCACACCAGCTACTCAAGTATTGACGACTGACTGCTTAACTAACTGCCTGAGTGTCTTACTGAGTACTGAGTACTAGTTTACTGCTTAGCCTGAAAGCTGTGCGTTTAGTACTTTGTGTGTATTTATGTGTCATTTTCTAGCCTTGTCATGTGATTGGCCATGACAAGAAAAATGCTGCTGCATATATTGTATGAGGTTATATTTTTAGCTCGAGTCATTAGGCCACTGAACATACTCTATAAGCACAGTCAGTGTTAACACTTTCTGCGTACCTCACTTAGTTGTAACTGTTAGCTGATTGAGTAAATGGCTGACAATTTTAATCGAGTATTTATAAACAACTGATTGGTTCAGAACGAGTATAAACTATTGCTAGAAGCTTTCGGGACTAAAAATGTAGGAAAGTTATTTCAGAAAAATATTATCATATCACTAGATTGGCGCTAAAAAATTGTTTTAAGCTTCAAAACTCTTACGACCTTAAAACCCATATATTATGAAATATTTTCTTCACTAACATAATCATATCTATTTAGAAGACATTACATAGTTTGAAGATCTGCTAAAAAATATGCTAGACTTCCTTGAATCCTCAATGAGACTCGTGCCAGCTCATTATGCTTTTAAATCTACTTTATAAATTTCTGACTGTGAAAATGCATATGGTTATTTCTTGAGTAATACCATAGCTCTCTAAGACTATTCGTCCTTATTCCAAACCTTATGGAGTACTTATATCAAAAGTCTTCACATGGAATTAAATGATCGGTGAATCTGTTAAAATATGCGCTGGGCTTCCTTGAACTCCAAGTAGTAGTTCATTTGAATTTATTATACATATATATATATATAATCTATATATATGTAGATATATTCATCTATACAAATTTGACCCGAACTGGCGAAAGAAAAAATTATTTTCACGTATTCTCATACAAATCTTTATTATCGTCTTCAAAGTAGGTCACTTTTAAGCTAATATAATCATGCCAACGCTTAATCCAATTTTCCATAAACTGGTTATAAGTCTCGGTTGGAAGATCCTTCAGTGTTTTTTAGCGAATTTTGTCTTTTCGATTTCGGCTCATTTTTGGCGCGCCAATCGTTAAATTGTTGGACAGTTTCAACGTCATTTTCATAAATTCACGTCTCCTCACTAGTAATAATGCGTTCGAAGAATGTGGAGCCCTCAGTTATATTGTCAAGTATCTCTTTTGCTACCTGCACTCGATTAGAGTCATGGAAAAGCTCTTTATCAACGTTTATATTTATATATCTAATAATTATCAATTTTATTAATAATATGACATACATAAGGCCCACAATTTGTTAATTGAGTAAATTGAGAGCTACTTGAAAAGCTTATCACAATACAAGTTATATAATAATTAAAATTTAAGTTCACATAAATTCTTAAACTGCCTTAATTGAGTCAATTAGAGTGCATACCATTTGCTAATTGAGTAAATTAAGAATGGTATGAAACGCCAATAAAGTCATAGAAAAGCCTTTTAAGGACCTTTTGGGTTAATAATTGATTATTAAGTACTGATTTTGTGTTATTTATAGCAACTATTTTACAAATATAATGTAAAAAAAAAATCGTCAATTATTGCTTTTATTCCATTAATAAAATGACAAATTAAATACACATTTGCTACTTGGAACAAAAACTATTAGAGCACCATGAAACTATTTAATTAAAAGACAATTCATTTTGCTATTCAATATTTTTATTTTATTATTATTATTTTTTTCATTATATATTTGAATAATAATAAAATGCTCACATTGCTTGTTTATTGCAATACTCTATTTTCACTTTTTTGCAGCGCCAAATTTTGTCAGCTCTTTTACACAGGGTGATTTTGTGTATTTTTTCTTCAGAGAAACGGCTGTCGAGTACATCAATTGCGGAAAGGTGCGTATCGTAATGAAAAATAACATTTTTATTTAAAATTTTTTCTCTAGACTCATAACTCATTTTGTTTGTGCTGTTGCATTTGTACAAGCGTAATTTAAACATTTGTCACGAGTGTTTTTAATTGATTTGAAAGCGTGTTGTAATTGTTTAATTTTTTCACACGCACTCAAAAACGCGGTCACACGCGTCAAGTTGAATTGTTGTTTGAAAAACAGGAGAGCGAAATTTTAACATAACTCAGTTTTACAGCTGTCGAAAAAAGTATATACATTTATTCCGTGTGATAAGTGGAGCGTGGGAAGTTGAGCGAATATTAAAAATAACTTGTTTTTGTTCGAATAAGAATGCAATGACAACAGGCACGTTCAAGTATGTGGAAATGCCGAACTTAAACAAATATTTTATTAAAAACGATTGCGTCTCGAATTTCTTATGAGTTCTACTTTTTTTGGCTTCAAACTGCCTTCATCAGATTGACCAAAAACACTAAGGAAATTTATAGAAACGCAAGCAGCAACTTATTCAACCTATAATGACCATTTTTCTATTATATATGTATTATTATGTAGACTTCTAAGCCTCTATTTTCTCGAAAAATCAATATTCAAAACTCAGATAAACTTTATTTGTTTTTTAAATTGATGAATTTCTTATGTTGAAAATGTTCAGTGTTACTTTTTTACACATATTTTTTCAAATTATCTATACCCATCTTATTCTCTAGTTAATTCTTCAAAGCGGATATCGTTTGGAGCTTCGCACCAATGAACACTTTAATGATTACTTCAAGACAGATATTGTCTAAAATTTTGAATTTTTCACCACGAAACTCTTTAAACAACTCATCAAGGCAAATATTTTCTAGAATATTGTATTAGTAAACCCTTTAGATAATTTTTTCAAGACGGATATTGTCTAGCATAATGCACCAATAAACCCATTAGATAGACTTGATTACAAGAATTTCGCCCAAGTTATCTGACACCAACTTTATCTAACACATCACTGCTTTAAACCCAAAGAAAACCATTTCTAAAAGTTGCTGCATTACTATAGCAAGAGTATTGATTACTATATATATCATCCATTGTTTCAAGCCTTATACTCATGTATATAAACACGAAATTTGTTTGTGTTGTCAGGGACATTTCAATTTTTTTTTCTTATTTGCTTCCTTGCGGAATTGGTTTTACCTGAATGTATTGCGCAAATGTCTTCGGTTTTTTTTTCAAATCGGCACTTTTTATGAAGATAGAAGTATGGTCCATAAGCTACAATGACTAATTTTTCAGCTCTCAACATGCCTTGTACACTGTGTTTGCAAAAAAGTATGGTGCAACGAACATTTAGATATTTTATTATAAAGTTTTAACAATATCATATATTATTCTATTTCAGAAAATTAAATTTTTGCTTCATAAGATCTAACCTTTAGCGATTATATTAAAGAGTAGAGCGTTCTTAGCGAAATCTCATTTCTCAAATATGTCAACTTCCCTCTCTCACTTTCTTCTAATTAAATAAAGAGTTTCGTTACTTCAATACTCTTTCGAAATTATTATGTCAAACTCTTCATCTATCATCTCCCATAAAATTTTAGTAAGTTTACTTACTGTGATTGCATTTATTAGGCAAAATTAAAGACAAGTAAACAATTTTGGGTTTAGTAAAAAAGAATTAAATCGAAAGTTTTATTTAGCGTCATTAAAATGAACCGATTTAAGTCAAATATGCATATTTTTGTTCGATTTTTTGTTTCTATTTCGAAGATAGTTTTCTAAGCCCACTCTCATAGAAACACAAGACTAAAGCGTGGATTGGCAGTACAGCTCCGAATTATGAGTTTGGCCACAGGGGAACAGCTCACTGTAGATGATTCCCTGGCAGTCTCATCATATAATTAGATATATTTTCGTAGAATTATTTCTTTCGCTCGAATCTGATTTAAAAAATATAATAATAATTTTCAATAGTGTATTGATTAGCACTTAAGGCCGGAAATAGTTCAAGATTTTTCTCTTATCTCTTCTAAGCACTTAGTTTTCATTATTTTAATACTCGAAGATCTGAAGAGGAAAAGTTAAGACTCTTGCTAAAACATATTCTAAAATCTAAATATTAATTTATGATTATACATCTCTATTTCTATATGATCTTCCATTTTCTAATTTTTTACCTTGCACAGGGTATACCACAAGATTTGTACCACCCAGCAACAAACGGCGGAGACACTACAAAATCTATGTTTAAATTATCACTGTGACAAGCTGAATCGATTTAGCCATGCCCGCCTGTACATCTGTATGTCTGTATATATGCAAACTAGTCCCTCAGTTTTTGAGATATCGATCTAAAATTCACGGTCACGTTATTTTTTCCCCCAAGTAATTGATCATCTGTCTTACCACTAGAGGTAATAGCTGCAATACAATCTGATTGATTAAAATCAAATTCTTGTAGAGCAATCTTTTTTATTTGACAAGATATTTTCATACAATGTAGCATAGATTCAATATCAATCTCTGCATATATTGTACAGATGGAACCGCTAGAACATATAGCTGTCATACAAACTGATCGATCCAAATCAAATCCTTGTATGGAAAACTTTTTTGTTTGAAGAGATATCTACACAAAATTTGGCATGGATTATTGTCTAAGACAACAGTACCATATTCAAACAAATTGGTCAAATCGGACCACTACAGCATATAGCTGCAATACAAATTCGGTGCAGTCAAAATTTTTGGAGTTTAATGGAAAATTCGTCGCTTGCTTTGCACTTATATTTGTTTTGCCAAGTTGCCACACATTTGCGTCAGAATATAAGCATAATCTCAACGCCAGCATCGAAAATTTTGAGCTGCGTACATGGCATATAATTAATAAACTCGTACCATATATTATTATATTAATTTTTACGCATTTTTTAACTTCAGTACAATATTCCACGCCTAAAGTATATTAGCATGCAGCTTTTTAAAATAAATTATATTCTCAGGCACTCAATTCATAAATTGCGGTCTAATATATTTGACACATCGCCAAAAAAGAAACGCTGCCCAAAAGTTATGCCATACCACATTCACCGCACCAACCGCAAACACATCAATCGCCGTTAATGACGCTCATATTTTCATTGTGGCCACGTCTGTCGCTGTTTGTGCCGCGCCGCTGCGCCCGCTTAATGCTCGTCTCCTTCGACAGCAATTCAACTGCGCGTAATTTTCTCCTGCATTCCTGTACATGTTTTTGTTGTTACTTGTCAATGATTTACATTTCGAATACTTTGTTATTGTTGTACTAATTTTAACTTCATTGTGTGTATTTGTCATTTCACCCAAATTTAGGCAATTTACTCACGCGTCGCGCGTGTCTGCAAATGGGACAAGGGCGGACCGCATCGTTTTCGCAATCGCTGGACGTCATTCCTGAAATCACGCCTCAACTGCTCCATACCCGGCGAATATCCGTTCTACTTCAATGAGATACGTAAGTGCAAATATATGCGTTGGCCATTTTTTATTATGTAATTTCTTTCCAAATTTTTTTTATTCCCTTTTTTGTTTGTTTGTTTTCGTGGGCGTGAATTGCCTAGTGCCGCTTTGATTTGGCGTGACATTAAAATTAATGTTGCGCTTTTAAAATTCCTCTACTACGCTGCGGCATAGCAATTCACACCCCAAACACACACACACATACCCAAACAATGCCGCCGAACTCATTTTAAATATTCGCCTGTAAAACTTTTTAAACATTCATGCAATTCATTATATTTATTTCTTTTTTCTACTTCTCCCCACGCCACGCCGCGCCGCCGCTGTGTTGGCGCTTCACTTGGTCCATTTTACAATCGACCAGAATCGGCTAGCAATCTCGTCGAAGGACACTATGGCCAAACAAGCGCCAAATTGATTTATGGCGTTTTTAATACGCCAACAAATTCAATTCCCGGCTCGGCAGTTTGTGCATTCTCACTGCAGGTAAGTTCGTCTCAACCTCGAAAGCATTTCGTCTATTAGTATACGCGCTTACATAAATGTATGTTTTATGGCTCTGCTTGTAATATTTGGGTGGAGGTAGCGTGTAATCAAGCGGTAGTGCTTTGCAAAAACAGGGTGGTTCAAGTGAACATATTTATACCTAGAAAGCTCGACAAAATGGTCATTCGACCACATTTACATTCACAAATTATACATTCTAAACATTTGAAGAATTATTGAAAAGTACTATAAGAAAGCCAAGAATTTATTTATGATATAACTGTATTTAAAGGATATAAGTATTATGACAAAACGTTCCCGAAGTTACGACTTGACCAACGAGGAATTTCATATACACATCTTTGGTCTGAACAATATTCTGAACTTACGCAGCTGATTAACTTTTTGTTTCCTCCGTATTCCCCAAAATAATAATGCGCTACGTTTCCAAAATATTTGGAATTATGTCTACGTATCGAAGCGGAACCTCAAGCCCCCAAGAACTGTGTAGAAGTAAATCTCTTGCGGAATGCAGAAAATGCTTTCAATAACAATATCAGCGAGGAGGTTATGAAAATCAGTCTACAGATTGAAACTCTAATTAGTTCTTTTTCAAAACATTTAAGATTCCACAGCCATTCCACTAATAAGTTTTTGCAGATCAAACTTCATGTGATATCATCAGCTCTGTTATCTTTTGATCAAATTTGACTCGAAAAAACCACGTTTGAATTGGTCATAAACCAAGGAAATGATTTTTTTCTTTGCGTATTATGGTGATGTGGTTCACCATGAATTCGTTACACAGCGTCAAAAAGTCAATAAGAAACACCACTTGACCGTTTTGAGGCGTTTACATGAAGCAATTCGTCGTAAACGTGCGGATTTGTGGGCAGAAAATGCATAGCTTTTTCATCACGATAATGCGCCGTGACTGTCTAGCCTAATAGTGACTGACTATTTGACCAAACACGGAACGAGAGTCTTCTTCGCTCAGCCACCGTATTTGACAGATTTGGCTTCCTGCGGCTTGTATTGGGTCAAATGGAGCATATCTTGAAGGCGATAATAATGTTTTGTATTACATTCAGTTCGGGTAAAATTTGATCAGATGTGTCAGATTAGTGTTTTCGCACAATTTAGTAACCTCTTAACCAACATTCTTAATCTCAATATATGAAAAGAATTAGCCACTCTAACTAGTGCTAGTCAGAATTCTCTGACTAATCTTATTTTTGCAGAAGCATCTGATACTAGTAATATAAAAACCAGAACCTTAGAAACTAGTTCGGATAGAGCAATGTGTTCTTATCCTCACTTTAAGAAGATTTTCATGCCTTATTACCTAATCTCTAAAAGGATGATATTGAATTCATATAGGAACAATGAGGATATTCGCACTTGTAAACAATATGCATAAACTCGGTCTCTGAGAATAATCATCCCTCTAACTGCTGGTTGCTAACTATCTAATTAATCCTATAACTGCAAGAGTATCTAATACTAAAACCAAAAACCGTTGGAAAAAGCATATAACTAACTTAAGAAAATGTATCAAATAGTTTTTAACTAGTTCAAGGAAAAGAGTATGGGTTGAGAAATAAGGTTCTTTTTGAAAAATATTCATAGTCTCGTGAAAACGAACCCGAATAGAGAAACGTGTTCTTATCTCTCATTTAGAAAAATTTCATCATTAATCAAACTCGAAATCTAGTTACCTAAATATAAAGGAATGAAATTCTATAGAAACAATTCTGCGCACAATTTAATAAACTCTTAACCAGCGTTCATAGTCTCGCTATACGAAAATAATCACTCACTGTAACCATTGCTAATTGCTCTCTCACTAATCATATATTTGCAAGAGTATCTGAGTAAATAAAAATCCTAACAGAGAGCATAAAAATTGTGCTTGAGAACACTTCTCCGGTAATTTTTTGCTTTATGAAGAGAAAGAGTCTAAAGTTATAATACTTAATCTCTATAGTCATAATATGTTGGTTACTACTAAGGATTTCTCTGCAGAAAGCCAATCAGAAGTCGGGATCGGGAGAAGAAAATGCTTTCGGTTAATAAATATATGATATAATAAGTAATGATTTCATCGTACAAAATTATAATTAAATACTTTTGACGTATATAAGAAAATATTGGATTCAGCTAGATGTTGATTACAGGATCTGTATCAGCAGAAAAATCAGTACTGAAATTTGCTTTTAAATATTTCATGGCTTAATAAGTAATGCTTGAATAATCATAAACTACAATATAATTTAATTTTTTTGATCGATATTTTAGAAGAATAGTTATATTCGTAGGGTTTTACATGTGGTGATAACTTTTTGGTAGGAAAAATTATGTATAGACTTTAGAAATATTTTATTCGCTAAAACCAATCATAAATTCAGAAACTTTAGCAATCTCACAACGTCACATACATATATCCATATTTCAAAAGTGATTTTGAAATAATTTGTGATTCATGATAAATATTTGTTCTCTACTTGAGTGCTATATAGAAACTTTGTCAATAAAAATCGATTTCTGATCCTACCAGTCTTACATATTAATTAGATAAAAAGATCTTAGAATATTTGGTATTTTTGAAGTTTTTGTGCAATCAACTGTATATTAAATTAGTTTGGGTATATAATATACATTTTTTGTTCTGAATTATAAAAATAGATATATATAAATATATTTTTCCAACAAATTATATCATTATATTATCTGGTCAAGTGGTAAAAAAATGTTAGAGAGTTCGATTAAGGTAGAGTTTCAAAGTAGCCGTATTCCATTCACCATTTCTCTGATCGCTTTAAACGCAGCTCTCTCAGGATCATAGAAATATAGGGGTTTATAAAATATTACTTAAGACAAAGTCTCTCTTTGAGATACAAGAGAAGCGTAAGTTTACAGCTGTTAAAGCTTGTTCGATTCACTACTCTCTAACGCTTGATGAATCGAAGACAGCTATCGTTACCTTTTAAGAAATTGCTTTCCTAACAAACTTATTATCAACTTAAAATATTGATTTGTAAAAATATATTTTTTGTTTATAAAAAAAATTGAATAAATTCAGCGTATTTCTCTTTGGAAAGCTGACAAAAATCATAAACAGTTATTTTCATAATGAAATAATTTTCTTTGTATACGCAAATGTTTAAAAGTATTTCTTTGAGCGTTGAAATTTTGAAAAATCGTAGCTCCAAGATTTTGCATATTAAGTAGAAATAAAAAAATACGTGTGCAAAATTTTGGCTCAAAAAACCCCAAAAAAAAAAACTTTGCACAAAAAAAAATTTTAATGCAAATTTTGTCTAGAATGACCCAGCAAAGGGACACAACTTACTTTTATGAAATTAGTCTGCATTCGAACCACCCTTTATAAATGTTTGCACGCGTCACTTTCCATGTCGAAATGAGCTTTTTTCGGCCACCGCTTAATATTGATTTTTCCGCTTTGCCGAATTCGTACCTACATACAAGTATATAATATACATATTTTTACATACATAAATATTTTATTTCTCCTCATTGCAGAAAATCGCCGACACATTCGAGGGCAACTTTAAGGAGCAGAGCAGCATCAACTCAAATTGGTTGCCAGTCAATAATGCCAAGGTATGCAATATATCTACATATTTATATATTTTCTCTCGATTTTTCATTATTTTCACAATTAAAATGCCACAATTTTCAGTACACAAATCCGCAGACGCGCACTAGTACCGCTCAATATATATATACCTTTATTTAAATTTTATACCCTTCATATACCCCAATTTGGCACGAAGTTTATAACAACCAGAAGGAAACGCCGTAAGCCCTATATAGTATATAAATAAATAATCAACATGTCGAACTGAGTCCATTTAGCGACGTTCGTCTCCCTGTCAATTTGACTGGTATATAGGCGAAATAGTCTCAATTTTTCGATATATATTTCTGAAATTTTTCACACGTTCTTTTTCCTTCAAGAAACTGCAAATTTGTCGAAACTGCCGATATCGGACCTCTATAGGATATAGCTGTCATACCAACTGATCGATAAAACTCAAGTTTTTGTATGGAAATTTCAATTTTAATTGACAAGATATCTTCACGAAATTTGGCGCATATTATTATCAGAATCAAAGCTAGAATCCCTGAATATATCGTTCAGATCTGACCACTATAGCATATAGCTGCCATTCCAAATGATCGATAAAAATCAAATTTATGTATAGAAAACTTTTTTACTTGTCAATGTATCTACACGAAATTTAGTATAGATTATTGCCAAAACCAAGGCTACAATCCCCGAACATATCGTTCAGATCTGACCACTATAGCATATAGCTGCCGTACAAACTGCCGAATCAAAATCAAGATAAAGTTTTTTTCATACCCTTTTATACTACAAGAAATGCACCTGTGAAGGGTATTAACTGCTTTTCTTGTTGTCCACCAATTTAATATTTGCATACACACCAACACACTTAAAAATGTCAACAGCGTCGCATTGTCGCTATAGTATATGCATATATTCGTATGTATGTATGTAAGTATGTGTGTGCATTTTCAATTAAATTGGCCTCATACGCGCTGGCACTTAACCACTCATTTTTATTGATATGCCACAAACCGCAGTTGATGTCGTGTCGCGCACTCATCCACTGCCACACCCACATTCACTACAGCGCCGCGACTTGGATTTCCACATCATCCATCCGCGCGTCTGAGTGCATATTTAACTGAAATGCGCACAAATTAAAATTCATTTAATCGTGATTGACTTTTAATGCCACTACATAAACATCTGCTTAATCGCTTACATATACCCCTGTGTGTATATATTTGTGTTTGTCTGTATGTGTGTGTGTTTTGTATACACATACAAGCGTTGTAGGTAGTACTTTCGGTTTTTAAGTGGCCAATTAGTGGATATACGCAAAGTTATCTACACACACATACATGCTCATTCACCCTCAGGCTGATTTGGTGCATAGTCAACAAAATTGGTGGATTACAATAAATAAGTATGTATATTTACGCAGGTATCAGTGCGCATCGTCAGCGGATTAGTTGGTGCTAAACTAATTTACCGATTTATTTAAAAAATCGTGTTTAATTACCGTCATTAATCCACTACCGAAGCGATACGTTGTATTATATTTTACTTCACCTAACGGTAGTTTTGGTTCTATATGTCTGTATCAAAATTAACGGTGGACTGGTTGAAATGTGGAAATATGTTTTCGTCCAAAAAATTCAAATTTTATTAATTGCAAAATCGAAATTAGTTAGAAAGTTGAGGCATGGTGTTATTAGTGCTAAGTGAAATCGAAGCATTCTTACATTCGTTTAACTGTAGTTTCGTTTGTTTAACTATCACTAGAAGATATGAGTTGGTTGGTTGGAAAGGAAAGCGGCTGCATTTAAGCCATCATTAAGTGAGGTTAGGTTTGCAATTCCCGTTTTCTATTTCCCCAAAATAAAATCTCATAAAACTCAATTTTGCATTGGCGGCCGATCAAACATCGGGTATCATCAGTTCTTTCGCTTAGTACACCTTTTCGAGTTTTTTTTTTTTTTTTTAATTGAGGACTGGATTTTAGTTGGTTTCGAGCCTCTCCCCATTAGCTGTGCACCTAAGTTGTAACTAATTAAGCCCTGTTTTGCAACTCCGCGGATTTTACCGATTTATCTAAGATTTTCACCTTAATGGTTTAATATCTTTAAAGTTGAGAACCGTGAAGATATACCGTCTCAACCGACTGAAGGTTGGGTATTCACAGAGATAATGTTCTAGCGTCTAATCATCCTCCGCGCATGGTCCGCATTCGACCGATTCTACTTTACCAAGTTTCTGAAAGTGGGATCCTTGAGGTAAATGCCTCTACAATGTTTAGTTTATTCTTAGATAATACAGGGTTTTCCAATACGAGTCATGTGATTTAAAAAACAAAAAAAAACACTAATTGTTAAGGAAATTCAAATATTTTTTATTTAAGAAGTACAATCAATACATTAAGTTCTGAATATAACATTATTCAAATGGCCTTCACAACATCTTTTGCAGAAAGGAATTCGATGAACAAAATTTTCGATTACTTTTTTCACTAAATCAAGTCGTATGTCATGAATAGCACATTCAATGTTGACTTCTGAAGCTTGAAGAGAGTCTGGTTTATTGCTAAAGAATAAGTACTTCAAATAACCCCACTAGATGCAGTCTAATGGTGTTAAATCACAACTTCTTGGAGGCCATTCAATATTAAAATTTCTTGAAATTATCGAATCTCCAAACTTTCCTTGCAATAATTCGGTTGTTGCACGTGCTGTGTGGCACGTAGCCCCGTCTTGTTGGAACTGAATGTTGTCAAGACCAACTTATACCTAAAAGAACCTCTAAAAGAACTGCATTCCGGCCTAACCCCGAGCGCGCCAAGTTGTCGGCCTTTTCATTTCCTACTATTTATATTGTCGATCTCTCTACTAGGAAAGAAAAAATTATTTTCTCGGGCGCATTGCAAATCTAGACCGACTTCTTTAACAAGTTTGAATATAATACTAGAGTCGCAGTGACACTATGATTGGCTCCAACGCCCTAGGCTAGCTAAAAGCATTGCATGGTACTTTATTTGAATATGTATTGCTCGGACGTCGATGATGACCTCCAGAGCCTTTGCTGGTAATCCTTGTGTAGAGCCAATAGAACAGTTGGGATAATGATTCTTTTGTAGGCATTCCACATATGAAAAATCCTGGAAGCCATTCTTTCAACATGCTTTCTCAAGAAAAATCTCTTATCTGTAAGTAGGAACAACCCAAAATAATTGACAGAGCACAAGATTGCAATAGTTTTACTCCTTCAAGACAGACGGTTGAGTTGCGAGATTTTTTCTCTCTTTTGCGAAAATATGAGAGAATTTTGTTTAGATGAAAACAAAAAAAGTTCCAAGTCCGATTAAAAAGTTCAAAATTTATTGAAAGCTTTTAAATCTAACGCGCCGATTCAAAGTTCGCATACGTCGGTAGGCTTTATTCAAAAATAGTTTAGAAATTCATAGAATTAGAAGTTTTTGCTATCTTAAAAGATTACTTATACATAAGTTTTATTAAATTGCGAGTGAGAAAATAGATATTATGAAGCTCCAAGTGTCAAAACTCAAACCTACGTATGCGACTCGGTATATACAAATTGTATAAGTAAATGATAATAATATTATACTCGTATAATAAATATTTGGAAAAGTGATATTGAGTCTGGCTGTCTCTTAGTTCCCATAACCGAGTCCCCATATAACCGGAAGCATCCCGAATTTTCTCATTTTTATTCGATCAAGGAGTCACAAGTCTTCAGCAGTCCACAGAATTATGACAATTTTTTTTCCACTACAACAACGGTCTCTCTCCCTTTCCCCCTCTTTTTGTCTCTCTCTCTTTCGCTCTCTCTCTCTCTTAAAAAGTTGTTTGATACCCTCGGAAATTTGATCAGCCTCTACGAACCCTGAAATATATAACTAACGTTTTTTCTCGTTAAAGATTTTAGTTCTTTCTGGAATTAAGACAAGTAAACGAGCACACCATAAGTCCAACCAAGATAAGCCGAACGCTGAGCAAAAATTAACACCTCCTCTTGTTTACGCCCTTAACTTTCTTATGTACTCAAATTTTCATACTCTCTTCTTTATACTGACACCACAAACCTTCCTTGTTTGCAATTAATTTCTGCATAACTACTATGTATATACCTGCCACCTTTTTCTCTCTTTGGCTGTGGCGGTGTTTGGAAAAAATTGAAATTGTGCAATATAACAACATGAAAACGTCGACGAAAACTGCAACGTCATCGTCAGCAACATCAACATAAAAAAAATTGCACATCAACTTTCAGCTTACAACAATACACACGCATGCCGTACAAAGCTATTCTATACACGTAATCTTTACCATTACAGGTGCCCGAACCGCGACCCGGCTCCTGTCACAATGATTCACGAACACTGCCGGAACCGACGTTGAATTTCATCAAAACACATTCGCTAATGGATGAGAACGTTCCGGCGTTTTTCGGTCAACCAATTTTGGTCAGGACGAGCACAATGTAAGTACCTTGAATATTGCACACACACACGCATATGCACTTATGTGTTTGTTCATTTATGTATCTATACTAAGCGAATATAAGCGTACACGTACACTGAATTCGGTAGTAAACTAAATACAGTAAAAAAAACAAAGATAGTACCTAAATAGTTATACGTATGGTATTAATACAGGGTGATCCATAAGTGATTTATTTTTGGTTATCAAAAAAATAACAAAATTCAATACTTTATTGCTTTATTGCAGTAAACATACTCATGTGACAAAACTGACTATATATATATCTCCCTCTATATATAGAGAGGGTGGTTCGTTTAGTTTTTATTTCTATAAATTCAAAGATTTTTTTTTAACTTTTTTTATTGATTTGTTCTTGCAAAAACTCGGATTACTCCTGAAACAAAATTATATTTAGGTGGCGGCATCGTATCGTCGCATCATTATAACCCTATTTTTCAAGAACGTATTATTTTTTACCAAGAATTTACCCTATTTTTGTTTGCATACTTACGTGGCACGTTGATCGGCTTCGTATATAATTGTAGAGGCTGTATTCCTTAATAATTATTTAAATTATACCCCACACGGGACATATTAAGTTTCCCAAGAAGTTTGTAAAAATCTACAAGAAATCGGGGAAAACCCGAAAAGTATATAAACGAGTATATATGATCAGCTTGTCGAGCTGAATAGATTGTTTTTACTCAAACTAGTCCCTCAGTTTTCAAGATGCCGATTTGAAATTTTTCACACTTCCTTTTCTATCCAAGCAGCTGCTCATTTGTCGTAATCGCCTATACCGGACCACACAATCAGAGCAAATTTCTTAATTTCTCTCGACCAAAATAAGATTTGCAATAAAATTTGCATAGAAATAATATCCAACTATGTCAAATCACCAAAATTCTTCGACTTAATAAGTTTTTTGCTGCGGCTTCAATAACTCTCTCTCCCTCTCTTTCTCTATTTGTCTATTCCTCAACCTCTTCCTATTTCCCTATTCTTCTATCACTCTCGCTCCCTACTCCTCTCTGCCTACATATGCAATGTAAAACAGACATAAAAATGTTCCCAATAAAAGATTTTAGTCTTTTTGGCTTTCAATTTCAGTATATACATCTTGATTATTTTCTGCAGATTTTTGTATACCCTAATGCATAAAGCTGCTTGCCAACGAAATCGCTGATTTTTCCTTTGGCTTTCAAAAATAAAAATCGTTTAAATATAAATTTGCAATGGTTCCCAACTTTACTCAATAATAACGGTATACCTTTTGTCTCCCATAATTTTCATGTATATGAAATTGCCGAGGTGATTTACAATAAGTAACAGCTGTTACTGTCAAAAAAAAATAAAACATTTTAATAACCGTAACACCTTATTGCACCACCCTGTATTTGAATACGCACACATATGTGTACATATAAAGACGTATGATAACGGTTTATATTTATTTATATATATATATATATATTTTTCATATACATACATACATATATATCGAGCAACTTCCACACCACTGTTATCGTATATCCTGCCCGGCTTTCATACTCTCCCCCCAAGTCATTTCGTTGCGTCCTTGCAAAATGTCGTCCGCCATCGTGCTTTGCATTACATCCGGCGTTGACTTTTTAGCTGACATTCGGGCGACGAAATTGACTTTTTGTTTACCGCACACACAAACACACATACATGTACATATGTGAGTTGTATGCAAGCGTGCGTACGTGTGTTTGTGCGACCATGTAGTGCAGATTGCGTATACGCCACGGCCGGATGTCGGTCACGTACCACCGGGTGAGTGGCTAACGCACAAGTGGCTATGAAATTCGTTGTCGTTGTCGTTGTCGTTGATCATTGTTGGAATAGCCATTGCCTCGCTGAATGCTCCTGCTGCTGCAATCTAAATATTATTATACAACAGTGGTGGCAACAGGAAAGGCACTTGCGTTGGCTAAGCGCAACTGCGACGACTTCCAATGCAGCGGGTAATATTGTTGTAACGACAACTACAACACTAGCAATATCTACAAATTGACTGCTATAACGCTATCACAATTTAAGACTGTCTCCACGTATATGTATATGTGTGTGTATGTGTGTGCTGGCTTGTTTGCCAACTGCACGTTCGACAATGATCATTATGATTATGATTATGGTTTGTTGATGCAACACCGCCACTAACCGTTGCACAACTAACACACGACTAACAAACCAACTAAGCTAGCTAGCTAGCTAGCCGCAGGCGTGGCTGGCGGGTGACTATTTTAAATAAAATAGATAACGTTCGTAGTGGCTTTGAGGCGTAACTGAGGAGCCAATTTTCTAACACAGCTACAAGTGCGAGTAACACAAAGTGTGTGTGATTTGTATATGTGTGAGTATAATGTGTATGTGTGAGTTTAAGTTTAAGTTGTGTGTGTGTGTGTGTGTGTGCTGTGGCATGTCATTGCTGCAATGGGTGCGGTTATTGTTTGTTCAGTCATACCGTTATGTTTGTTAAGTAACGAGAAATGTGTTGATCCTGGTGCAATATCAAACGACCGGAAACCCTGCCCGCAATTCAACGCCAAATTAGTTATTACACGCTTTGAGTTGACGATTTTCATGTCACATTACCTGCTACTTTACAGTGTAGCTATGCTTTAAGGGCATATGCATTTGTTTACATACGTATGACTGACTAAAATATGTTGTAAAAATGTTGCAAATAGCTTTTTACTGTTAAGAAGTCAGTACTATATTGTTAAAGTTTCCTATAAACCTTTAGTTAGGTGGCTTAGTAGATTTTTCTATCCCGAAAATCCTCGAGCGGTCATATACTAGCTCAACTAAATCCCTCGTGTTGGCAAGTGTGGGGCTGTAAGAGATTTATAAGATGAAAAGCGTAGATGTATGTATAATTATAATCCCTATTGGCAAAACTGGGACAATCGAGTTTTTTCAGCTTCTCTTGGGACGAATTTTTCACCAGCAAAGTTATTCGCCATGGACAAGCACAAATAGTAATCACTTGATTCCAGATCCGGACTATAAGGTGGATGCATAAGACGCTAACCAAGCTTCCACAGCTTTTGCGGAGTCACTATCGATGTCTGTGGCCTGGCGTTGTCCTGATGGAACACAATTTCTCTACTACTGGGCTAAGCTGCCCACTTCTGGGCGATTGCGTCCATTACATTATGTTAAACTTTGCGGCTCCTCATGCTTGTTTTATTCGTAAAATCGTTTACATTAATTTAGTATAAAAAAATTTACTTCACGAGTGTAAAAGTATTTAACCTAATAATGAATGAACATTTATTTTCATGATATCCTTCGAGATTACAATGAGATTAGCAATGAGAGCGTTGTCTTCTAGAGTTGCTGTCTCTAGTGGCCTACCTGTACTGAGTGATTTCCTTTGTTCTAGCACAAGGATACAGATTTTTTGTTTTTGTCATTCCTTCGGTCAGACCAAAAACCTTTCAACTTATATAGTACATACAACCGTATCTCAAACTTATATATACTCGTACTTAGTTGCCACCAGCAACTGCATGAAATTTTTTAGTTGAGCTTAAACGAGTGTCGGTGAGTGTCATGATTTTAACCAGCTAGTAGTGACCCACACAAGTTAATTAACTTCAAAGGCTTGAAAGATATTCTGGGAAACTTTTCTACATAAATAAAAATTAGCTCGAATATTAATACTGCTGAAATGTAATAATTAAAACACGGCAATAAAAAAAGATTTTTGCTAAAATTTTAGATTTACTATTGGCAGAGTATCCATTATTTTGGAAATGTTGTAAAAACTGGCATAAAAAATCAGCATTAAAAAAAGCTTGAATATATAGATGGCCTAGGTATCCTAAAGGACAAACAGCACTGATTTGAAATCTGTCAAAAATTGTATCTTAGAAAAAATTAAATTAAATTTTTAAAACAATTGAATTTGAGATTTTATTAAGAGATGATTTTAGTTTTCGGTGTAAATTTTTGCTGTTGTTATTTTTGATATAATAATAATATCGATTAGTGCAATTGATTTAGAAAATATTTAAAATATATATGAAATTTTTAAATTAATTAAATTTAAGCTTTTGCTGTTAACTTTTGGTTTAATTACATTTTACATCGGCATACTTTAGTATAATTGGTTTAAAATTTTTTTTTTAATATTTTTTGTTTTAATTACTTTAATGTTAATTTATTACTCTTGTATATTTTGGTATAATGACAGAATATTTTGGTATAATTGGTTTCAAAATTTTATAATGAAATTTATTTGAGCTTTTTAAGTAATCTAATTTCATGTTTTTGATGTTATCATTTTTGGTATAATTTTTATTATACAAAATAATATTTTTGGTATAAGTGGCTTAAAGTTTCTTTTAAATATTTTTTAACTTAATTAAATTAATATAAGATTCTTGGTGTATCTGTTTTAGTATAACTACGTATAATAACACTATAATTTGTTATAATTGATTTCAATGTGTTAATGAATTTTATGAAAGATTTTTATTTATTTTATTTCAGGTTTGTAATGTTTTCATTTTTGATTTAATAATGATACTATTTTTGGTATAAAAAGTTCAATTTTTTAAAACTATTTTTTGTTTCAAATAATTTAATTTAAGTTTTTTGCTTTTATCAGTTTTAGTATAAATACGTATAATAACAGTATAATTTGGTATACTTGATTTCAAAATGTGTTAAAATAATTCATTGAGAGATTTTTAGTTAATCAAATATCAGGTTTTTGATGTTGCGATTTTTAAGATAATTTGGTATAATAATAGTATTTTTAGTATAAAATGTTTAAAATTTTTTTTCAAATATTTTTAGTTTTAATTCAATTAATTTAAGATTTTTGCTGTTTTTATTTTTGGTATAATTACGTATAATAACAGTATAATTTGGTATAATTTGGTTTAATTAATTTCAAAATGTGTTAATTAATTCATTGGAAGATTTTTAGTTAATCGAATATCATCTTTGATGTTGCCAATA